CAGGACACCCGGCCCAAACCGGCCAAAGGGGTATTGCATACCATGTGACGTCACGCTCAGTATATAAAGTGGGGGAAAGCTGGCCAGAGGGCTGCTGCTTGGGCTCTGGCTGGGCATCGGTGGGCAGGTGGTGAGCAATTGCATCGTGCATCGCTTGCTTTGTATATTATTATTTTTATTATTATTATTATACTTTATTTCAGTTATTAAATTGTTCTTACCTCAACCCATGAGTTTTCTCACCTTTACTCTTCCAATTCTCTCCCCCGGGGGGGGGGGGGCGGGGGGGGGGGGGGCTGGCGGCCGGGCAGGCACGTCCCCCCCGCATGCTTCGGCCTCCCCTTGCCCTTCCCTGAAGCGCAGGCAACGCAAGCGCCAGCTGTTTGCAAGCAGGGACCCTGGTGGCAGTTCCCTGGTGGGGGTCCCAGCGCGTCCCCCAGCTCCTGAGACAGCAGAGACCCGGCTCCCAGCCCTGGGAAGGGGGACGGGGGCACCCCCAGGGCCATGGCCCCAAACCCAGAGATGTGCAGAGCTGCTTTCCGCTCGTGCATGCGCACACGCGCTCCCCCCCCACACACACGGGTACCGCCTGACTGTGCGTGCACACGCACACGTGAAGCCGTGCGGACGCGAGAAACCCCGGCACACCCCCGTGCACAAGCGCTCTCTGCCTGTGCTTACATGCACACATCCCTCCCCCCTGGCACAAGCATCCCCTGGTGCGTGCGCACACACACTCACGCACGCATCCCTTGCCTATACGTGCACACACACACCCGTGCATGTAAAACCTCGCCAGCCGTGCACGCACGCACACACACGCGCGCGCGTGCAAGCGTCCCCACTCAGGCATTTGCATCCCGTCCATGCACGCGTGCACACGCGCCCCTGCACAAGCATCCCCAACTGTGCACACGCGCGTGCACGCGCGCGCACGCGCACAACCCCTGCCCGCGTGCAGTCGTACAGATTGCCTGCCTGTGCGGGCACACACGTGCCTGCACACAAGCGTTCCTGCCCACGTGCACACACACACACACACACACACGGGGCAGAAGAGCTCCTACTTGGCGGGGGGAGCATCGTAGTAGTCCTCGATGAGCTCGTCCTCGCTGAAGAGGCTGGGGACACGCAGGGACCGCGGCCGCCCCGTCACGGGCTCAGCATCCTCCTGCGGGGACGGACGTGGCTGATGTGGGCAGCCCCGTGCCCTCCCCGCTGCCCAAAGCGGGCAGCTCACGGCGGGATCCCCTTGCTGACCCCCTCCCTCCCCTCCCCACCTGCCTGCACCATGAAGGATGAGCAGGGGACGGAGAAAGAGGGGTCGAGATGCAAAATCACCGCCCGCGTTTCCCGGGTCTGCAGCTGCCCACGGTGCCAGGAGGTGCCCGGGCGCTGCCGGCCCCAGGGAAGGGGCACGCTCCTGCCCGCAGCAAGACGGAAGCGCGGCCGTAGGGAGGAGCTGAGTGCCAGGCTGGTTATTTATAGCAACCAAAAATGTCTGTGCTTGCTGAGAAATCCTGCATTTCCCCCTCGTTGGCCAGGGGCAGGCACACACACGTGGCTGAGAGCTGTCATGGGGGTGACCGTGGCTGCAGGCTGGGGGTGAGGGGTGGCCGGGCAGGAGCAGGCAGAGAGCTTGCTCTGCCAGCAAGCTGCCACGGCTGTTTAGCCACAAGCCCTTGCTGCAGCCCCCCCCGGGCAGGGGGTGGCTGGGCCGGGGTTAGAGGCAGCCACGGCACCATCTCTCCCCAACAGCCTCTTCCCAGGCGAAGGCAGATGGGGGGGGCTCCAGGCGCTCAGGGGTCTCTCCGTCTGCTGCAACCCCTCAGATCCATCCAGACCCACCCCAGGTCAGCCTCGGGGGTGTGGGGCAGATACAAATCCCCGATCCAGGGATTAAATTCAGGCTGCGATGCTGCAGATGTCCACTAGCGCGCACTCTGTGCACGTAAATTTGCAGAGAGGCTGCATGGCGGTGCTGCTCCCCGGCCACCCCAGGGCTGCCCCTGGGCCGGTTCCAGCCCCTGTGGGAGACCCGGTGGGTGCTCGGTGAGGCAGAGCCCCCTCTCCGGCCGCTACAGACGTGCTCCTCCAACCCTAACCGGTATCTCCAAAGCAGCCCAACGCCAGCGCCTCTCCCCTGGGGACGGCCACCCCGCTTGCTCCTCCCCACCACCAAGCAGGAGCCCCATGGTGGGACCAACCTTGTCGGCCATCTCCCCGGCGGGACCAGCTAATTCCTCCTCCCAGGCAGAGTCCTCGTAGTCTGAGTCATCTGCAAAAGCGGAGGGGAGATGCTGGGAATCAGCACGGAGGGGTCCTGTCACCCCCTGCCACCCCCTGCCACCCCCTGCCACCCCTCTGCCCGTCCCTGCCAGCATGGAGACGTGCCAGCGCCGGAGCCCGGCAGGGAGGGTGCCGGCACAGCAGGTTTCCCCCTCGCTCTGCCCTTGGCAGACAACCGCTCCGTCAGTGCAACAATGGGGGTTTTATCAAGGGGTTTGGAGAAGAACAGGGAAGGGAAAAGTCCCGCTGGTGGCAACTATGGACACCATCACGACTCTCCTGCCACTGCCGGGAGGGGACTTGGGTGCCACCAGCCCCAGCACTGCAGCTTTGCCCGGGGAGCTCCTGCTGCTGGAGGGTCCCAGGGGCTTTTCCTACAGCTTGTTTTTCAGGCTGGATTTCACCCCCCCTCCATTCGGAGAAGAACAGGGAAGGGAAAAGTCCCGCTGGTGGCAACTATGGACACCATCACGACTCTCCTGCCACTGCCGGGAGGGGACTTGGGTGCCACCAGCCCCAGCACTGCAGCTTTGCCCGGGGAGCTCCTGCTGCTGGAGGGTCCCAGGGGCTTTTCCTACAGCTTGTTTTTCAGGCTGGATTTCACCCCCCCTCCATTCCTTATCGGCTGGGGGGGGGGGGGGGGGCGGGGGGGGCCCCCCCCCCCGCCCCACCTGGTGTCGGAGAGACTGGAGCCGCGAGCAGCTCTCGAGCCTGCGCACCCACGGGAAATAAGATCCCGGAGAAGGACAGGAGCAAGGAGCCGGTTCTTCCTCGCCCAACACCCACGGCAGCAGAAATCCTGGCCAGCAAGCACCCGTCCCGCAGGGGACAAGTGGCCCCAGACAGCTCGTCCCTCGCAGACACCCTCTCCCAAACCCTGGTGATAACCCGGACCACAGTTCTCCCAAAATCCTAATCCAGAGGATGCTGTTACGGTCCAGGGAGCCCCGGTGCTGCGGCCGGGCGAGGATGCTCCCAGGCTGTGCAGGGGTGAGGGGTGCGGGTAGATGCTCTCCCTGGGCACGTCCCTACAGGGGACACCCCCATCGCCCCCCCGCCAGACTTTGCAGCACCCAGCGCTCGCTGGCTTTTGGTGCAGAGGAGCAGCCGACCCGTCGGGGCACGGGGCAGGAGCAGCTTCCCTCCCCGCAGCCCCTGACAGAAGGATAACCTTTCTGTCCGCGGCTTCTCCTAGCTTTTGAAACACACCCCCAGCTCCCAGTCAAACCAGTGCCGCTTCCCGCAGGGCTGCTGGCCAGGCTGGACCCCGGGGCAGGCACCCAGCGCCCCGCAGAGCCCTGCCCTTCCTCTTCCTTTCAGCAGAGCTATTCAAGCTGGGTTAGAGCTATTAAATAAAGGAGCAGATAAAGCTGAGTTACGGCTGTTACACAGCAGCAGAGCCCAAACCACCTCAGGCAGCCCCCAACCCGGGGCTGCTCCCCAGGCGATGCTTCGGGACCAGAGCTGCGCCCCTGCACGGGGTCCCCAACTCAGCATCCCTCCCTGCAGCTGGTCGAGACCCGGTGACACCCCACCACCACCAAGGAAGGGGCTGGTGGGTGCAAAGAGCTGCCGAAGGCTGTGCAGGGAGCCGGGGGTCCCAGCACCGGGGCTGACGGCTGCATCCTGCTCCTGTCGTGCTCCCCCAGCACCTTCCAGCCCCCACTGGCCGCAGCTCAGGGACATCTGAAGGCGCACGCATTTAACATCCCTGATGGGTTTATTTTTCCTCCATGAACTGGTGCGGTTGCTTTCAGAGCCCATGCAGACCTTTGCTCTCCCCCGAGAGAGGGTGCATCCAAATCCCCAGCCCAGATCTTGCACCTCCCCAAAAATCCCCAGCCCAGAAGGCAAAGAAGGGGACGGAGGAGGGAGGGACCCAGGCAAGGCTGCGCAGGACAGAGGGACAAACTGATGGGGGAGGAAGGCACGGCACCCATGGGATGGGTGGTGGCGGATGGACAGACAGACCCAGCCAGGCACCCCGAGGGAAGATTTGGGACAGGAGAAGATTTGGAGGGGCCCAGGCCCGGGCCCCCTCACACTCACCGAACTCAGGCACGAAGGGGAGGTTGGCCTTGGACGGCAGCTCCGGCGGCAGCGGGGCCGGCGGCTTCGTGCGGGGAAGGAGGGCCGGCGGGGACGGGGGGATGCTGGGTGCTCTGTCGGGGACGGGGACCTCCTCTTTGGCAGGGATGCTGCGGGAGAGAGGAGCAAGTGCTGCCTTACACCGGCCCCGGACCTCCCCTGCCCTGCCTTCCAAACCCTGATGCACCCGCGGCCATCAGAGGGGGGTCCCGGGGTGCAGGAGGACCCCCAGCACAGCCAGCTTTACACCCCCCCAAAGGGATCAAACACCCCAAACCCCGGCAGACCCACGCCCACAGACCAATTCCTAACAGCCTCCCACGGCAAAGGCTTCACCTTGCTTGGGTTATACTGGTGCTTTTCTAGCCTGAAAATATTTTCTGGCATCCAACCTCACTTCCCTGTCGCTGCCGCCGCAGCTCAGGTTCCTTATCTGGCCCTCAAGGACATCAGAAGCCGCCTACAGCCTTGAAGCCCACGTCCTGGATCAGGTTGTTTTTTTTTCTCCTCCAGTCTAAACAACGGCGGTGCCGCTTCCTCGGCTGGTTTGCAGGTGGCCACAGGGTCCCCCAAGAAGGATGGGGGTCCCGGGGGGATGCTCCCTTCCTACCAAGGTCCCTGCGCTGGGGTGGGCGCAGGAGATACGGGGCAGCCAGAAGCCCCCTGGAAATGGAGCCCCGGGCTTCTCCTGGGTCAGTGAGCAGCACACCGTGCCCCCAGCCCCAAAATCTCGGCCAGGGGAGGAGAGGGATCCTGGGGAGTCTCCTCTCGCCTGCAGAGCCCCCCGGCAGCCGGGCTCGGCCGCTCCTGTCTCCTGTTCTCCGCTTGCTTCCTGCCTTACTGACAATCGCAGGCAGACGGGCAATAAATAGAAACCTCTGGGGTTATGGTATTTTTAAGGGCAGGAAATTAAGAGGAAGTTTCTTCAGGGTATAAAAATATGAGGCACCTGATTGACCAGCCCTGAAGTCAGGGAGAGGGCAGAGGAGGCAGGCAGAGAGCAGGCAGGTCTGCCTGCTCCCACCCCGAGCCCCTCGCAGCCCCACGGCTGTGTGGGCGAGCCCCGGGGGACCCACGTGCTGGCAGTGAAGCCACCGTCCCCATCCCCGACCCCGCTACCTCCCACCGCAGCCCTGAGCCGGAGCAGCCAGTGCAGGACACATCCCAGCGAGCACCAAACCCCGGCACGGCTAACGGCATCGCCCCACGGCCGACGCTGGAGAAAGCTCAGCACGGCCAAGGCTGCCACCAGCACCCAGCGGTCCCCGGGGATGGCCGACGCCGGTCCCCGGTGACTCCCAGCCCCACGGCCGGTGCACGAGAGCTTTCCCCGAGCTCGGGGCGAGCTGCGGAGGGAAAAACTTCTCCCTCGGCTGCCTGCACAGAGCAGGGGGAGGACGGCGAGCGCTGGCTCTCCTCTGGGTCAGGCTGACCTCATTTCTCAGCAGCCATTTCCATGGGAACCAGCCACAACCATCCATACATTACGGAATGTTGGCAGGGAGGGCAGGGGAGCGCGGGCAGGGGAGCGCGGGCAGCGAGCTGTCCCGCAGCCCAGGGCAGCAGCATTGCTCCCAGCAGGGCCAGGCAGGGGCTTGCCAGGGTGGGGGGTTTGGACCCAGGGGTGCGGGGACCCAGGGACAGGGAGGTGACAATGTGCACGTCACAGAGCCCCCGGCAAGAGCCCGGCTGGGGTCTGCACCTGCACGGCCACCCAGGATGGCGTTTGCCCCCTGGAC